TTAACATACTTGCAAATTTTGCATGATGTCAGTTGACAGAATGTGTCGGCAATTAGTGAACAATGCTCAGAAAATTGCACTTATGTAGTTTTTACACAGGCAGTCAAAATTTAAACAAAATAAATGCATGCTGTGCATACAATGGTAAAGGAATTAGGTATGATAGTGAGTGAGACAAGCGAGATTGGCCCTTATCAAAGGGGGGGAGGGTGAGATTAAAGACAAAGATTACGTAAGCAGATGACAGAATAAAGACATCCAGTTCCCAGGACAAGGTAAGACTAATAACTGCTTCTTTCTGAACATTAAAAATCTAGTTTCAGCTGTTTGATAAAGATTGCTTCAACAAACTTGAGGAGAATCGAGCTCCTTAAGCGCAATTTTCTGAGCACTGTTCACTAATTGCCGACACATTCTGTCAACTGACATAATGAAGAAATTTGCAAGTATGTTAAAACGTTTCTGTACATAAACCTCATAATTTATTTAAGCTGTAAGCAGCAGCTGATGAGAAGCCAACGAAATGATTGATGGTACCATATTTTTTATGCACAAACCACTGTTTTTCTTGCTTGTTTCAAATTCGTCAAAGGGGAACAAATGCACAGAGTAATTTACATCGTTTCTCAATTAACTAATTAACGGAAGTGATTAAAACTTCTGTTTGACTCTTTGTTCGCCTTGTTTCTCATTATAAATGATCGAAGTGTACCATAAGTCAAAATAAACTTAAAGATGCCTTGCTCTATGGCAACTTTTCTTCCATAACTACTTGTCAACTTATAATAATCAGACTACACTAAAAGTAGCTTGCGTCATGCATGCATACAATTAATTATGACTTTACGTTTCATTTTATATTATTGCATATATTTTACTCCCGAGTGTAACATATGCAGTAAGTGAAAAACACGGATCTATTTATGTTGTAGAGCTGCTAATACTTACTGCTTAAAAATTAATTAAAATTCCTTCTTTTCCCTATTTGTTGTCATAATAGATTCAAGAAATTAATTAGCAGGTATAGCTCATTTTGATTGCAAGGAGGATTTCATCATGAGCTGACATTGGTTAGAGAACCATCGGAAAACCCGGGAGTACTGCCATACAGCTGCTTCGTCAGCCTAGTTTGGCACTCTTCAGCATTGCTCACCCACCGGAACTCGAACCCAGGACCTTCCGGTTACAAGGCGAGCTAGCTCGTATACCATTCAGCCACTGGAACCCCACTGAATGGCGCATGAATTCTAACTTCTGCCAATTCACGACTTAGCGCGACTATTTCGCAATGTCCTCTTCGATGAGTTACTGCCTCATCTACAATCCGCTGTTCCCTACTGGTCGTGGTTTTCCACTAGAACCCCAGGTTAACTGCCTGAATAGGGCCAGTCGCTAGTGAGCTAAAGAATGTCAAACTAGGACGAAACAGCTGTCCAGTACTCCCAGGTTTTCCAGTAGTTCTCTGTCTGATGTCAGCTCATGAAGACATCCACCATGCAATCAAACAAAAATCCCTACAAAACCAATATTTGAAAATAGCTCATTTTGTATGATTTAAAAAAGTATATCAAGGCCTTTTCAACAGGTACACACTGCTACGCTGCTGCCTGAGTGAAGTCATTTGGTTGATGGTCGCTAGCATTGTAATCTGGAATATGCATTTCACCACACATAGGACTTGTTAGCCACATTTACCTGCACTGTCACTGAATAGTAGTGTTCCCTAATAAGACTTGTAGCGAGAAGCTATTGATTCAGACGCTATATTTGATGAATCCCAAAAATAAGACGAGACGTCAATTCACTACTTTAGCAATAGTTATCATCGGTTGAATGACTTCATGTTAACCTTCGCACATTGTTAAAGTGTCCGCACATGGTAACAATGTATCAGAAAAGACCTGTGATTCAGTCTAGTTAAATTCTACCGACGGAAAGTACGAAACGATTGCTGCTAAGTTCGAGTCTCTGTTGAAACACCACCTCTCACTTAGTATGTAAGTAGATTCAACTGAAGAGTTCTGAAAAGGACAAATCCTGTAGTCTATATTCCACTTTTGACTATCATCAACCAAATAACATCTTTTAAATATTATCTTCTATGTTTATACGCCTAAAGCAAAAATAACTCACATAGCTGTGAACAAAGCAAAAAAGTCGTCTAAACTTTATAAAAGCTGATAGTGATTATTAGGTGGTGCTGTTACCTGCAGTAAGGAAGGTTAATAATAAAAACGATATTTATCAACTCTTAGAAAGAACCAACCAAATACATGTGGTTTGAAAAATGTGCCGAAAGACAAAAAGGAGATAAATTGGACGCACTTTGAGAAGGACACATCAGGCCATAGTCTTAGAGTGGGACCCGAATGGGAAATGATGGGCTAACTGTGGATCCGAGGGTGACATGATGGAAATTGAATCACAAGAAAATGAGAAGGCGTATGAGCGATCTTCGATCCAGAATGATGAAAAGAAGTGCTATTGAAGCCTGGTGTTTCACTCGGGACACGAGGGAACAATAATAATAATAAGGCGTTTTTATTTATTCGGCTAATTGACGATACTCGAGTGTTTCACGCAAAGCGTGATGCATTTGAGCACTTGTTAGACCATGAGAACTGAATTATAAAGTAGAAATAAGTTGTCTTTTAGTTTTCAGTCTAAAGCAGCTGTTTATATATATAATTATTTTGAGTGTATGTACTTCAAGATTGTAAACAAAAATAAAAATTAGTTAGTTGTTTACATCATTAAATGTTTTCAAAAATATGATAAATAATCGAATTGCAACTATGAGGAGGGGGGGATGAAGATTGGTAAGTAGAAAGAGTAAATAAAGGGTTGGTGAAGAAAATGATGTTACTGAAAGTCATAAAAAATTCATAAGAAAGGATAAAAATAACAAAATAGCAGGCGTCATGTAAACCCTATTTATGAAAGCTCCTCCACTTTATATTGGTTGAGACATATATCCATAATTTATATAAAACTAACATCATCTTTTGAACCCTCCCTGCTCCATTGTCCTGACTGTTAAGCTCTATATCCTTATTCTATTCGACCTATTATTCGCATATTATACCATCACTTCATCGGTGGTTCAGGGGTAGAATGAATACCTGTCGACGAGGCAGGTATTCACAGTTCAATCGACGGCCGACTCACTCTCGTATCTTGCTTAGCCGGCAGTAAATGTGGCCAGCAACCTTAAGGCGTCAACAAAATCAACACTGTCACTGCTAAAACTTCAAAGCCCAAGCTTGAAGCCTTATTTTCCAGTAGCAACTCAAAGGTATGAAAAAAATCAATGCAACTAAAGAAGATTTTTTTGATTATAGCTTGATTCCACGCCGTATTTTTTATACAAGTATGAAATTTTCAGCATGTGATATCACTAGCTTAAATTTTGCAGGCCGACCACAGATATCAGGTGAGCGTCGGCAAACTCCGGACCGTGTACGTGGTCGGCGAGAGTCCTAACAGCTGTGCTACTGACGCTCAAGATTCGTAATTCATGCAATGCATCGACTATCAGTAATACTAATGACAATACTGACATCATTTTACTTTTCACGAGTTGATCACGGATTGATATCAGTTAGAGAAGCATTGAAAACAATCAGGGAGTACTGGACAGCCAGCTGTTACATCCTAGTTTGGGAATCATTGGCAATACGCACCCACTGGGGCAAGTTCGTATACCAGATCGTTACCAGTGAGGTCCATCCAGACGTGACGTATGAGGATGGATGTCCCACCAACGACAATGGTTGGGGTCCCGCTAAATCACGAATTGATAAAAGCAAGAATTCATGCGTTGGCTATTTGAATTGGGTTCCATTGGCTGAATGGTATACGAGCTTGCTAGCTTTGTAACCGGAAGGTCCTGAGTTCGAACCTCATTGGTGGGCTCGTACTCTCAATGATTCCCAAACTAGGCTGAAACAGCTGACTGTCCAGTACTCCAATACTGGTTTTCAATGGTTCTCTAACTAATATCAATTCGTGATAAACTCGTAAAAACAAAACAAAACTAACCCTTACAAACCAGACTATAGAATATTTTTACTTACAAATTAAACCTAACGAAAGTATGTTTGTTTTACAGTAAATCCTTTTATAATTTATTTGTCTAACAACCTAAGCATTGTTTCATTACAAGAGGATTAAGGCCTTCTTTGTTCATAGTTCATAGAAAATATATATTTGATAAGCTGTTATAAGTTTCGCTTAGTTTTATCAAATTATCAAATACCACTGTCTTAGACAACTTCAAATTGTGTTGTAAATGGAATATTAAACAAGGCATATACATGAAATGTCGTATACTTATTTTTATGTAGATTACCCAAACCTTCCGTTTATTTTCTTTCTCTTAATCCCCATTTGTATTACACAACTTCTGTATGTTGTTGAATTCAGGTTAGTTAAATTCTTATTTTATGTATGAATAAATTACTAGATTGGATTCAACAAGGGAACTAAACGAATCAAAAATCATTGTGTAAGCCTCTTTCCAGATAGTAATTTTTTTTCACATCTTGCTTTCTGCGTGGAATATAGAGCTTCAAGCTTTGAAGTTTTAGTCGGTGTAGTTGGTAAGATAACTAGCCGCAATCCTATCTTTCCTTCTGTACTGGACCTACTGTTGACCAGGCGAGGTTTGACCAGACGCTTCTAACCTATACCTATCACATAGTTGGCAAAAATTCATCTCCTGGATGACCAATGCAAACAAAGTGTAATGAACAGCTGTTTCATCTGATTTTGCGGCTCCTCATCAGCAGCTATCCATGACTTGATCAGAAATCAAACCCAGGACATTCAGTTTTTTTTTAAAGATGGCCCTTGTTATGATTCAACCAGTGTGACAGTTTATGATAAGCCTTGTGAAACTGAAGTTTTATCATTTGTAATCCACTGCATTTTATCACTATATATAAACAGGTCAGTAATTCTGTGCTGCTATTCACTGTTTTATTTTTTTTTTTTCATAGGCGAAAAGATCTCTCTGAGAGTCTCCCAAGCCTAAAGTAAGTAGCTGTTCCATTTAGCCTTTAATAAGCTAAATGGGTTTATCTTCGTATATCTCAAAATTAAATCCATTGTTATACTCGATTTTTCGCGAATGTTTTACACTGTCATCAGGCACAAGTAGCAAAAAAAAGCTTGACGTATCTGCATAATGAGATAAGCAAGTAAATGGCTGAAGACAGTTGGCAGGCAACCCTGGACCTAGATTTCGTGCTTGCTGGCACTCATTAGCAATGCATATTTTCAAGCTTGAGAGATCTGGGATTCACATTCGCATCACCCACTGCTACTGTTACGGACGTCGCCACTGATCTGTTGGTAATCACCAGTTAATTATTTATTTGCAATTCAGCCACAATTAAAATTATCCCTATTTCTATTTGGGCAATAATTTTTACTTGGTTAGTTCTTCAAACTAAGTTAAAACATTTGGTGTTAAGGTGAATTTCATCCGTGTGAGTGGATCCCAACAGCTCATAGCAATGCGTAGTGTATAATACCGCGCAGTCGTTTCAACTCTTCGTGTTATCCATAATCATAAACGTATAGTTGTCATGATATCCTGTGATAAAATGTAGTATACACAGGTTACCAAGAAGTAACGTGCAAGATTTTACAAAATAATATTTCGATTGTAAGGAATCCCATTCTAAAACAGTACAGTTTCATAATTGAAGGGAGTTTCACCTCCGCAGGTAAAATGACTAACTGATTCTAATCCTTTAATCCTTAAACATCATTCCAAAGAGAGGCTTCTAGAGAATTCCACAGTAAAATCCATTTCGTCTTCTAATCTGCTGTCATCGGCATGACCAAACATGGCATGGGATTAGCTCCTGCCAAATTAAAGATGATGATGTTGCAGGACTGGACCACACTAACTCCAAGTTTAGAAATAGGGAGTGAGGTGGTAGAGCACCTTGACCGCTTCACTTATTTGGGAAGTACCATCAGCCAACGCCAACGGGTTGATCTCCAACAAAATCTCCGCGCTGATACAGAGGGCTAGTTTCGCATATGCCAGTTTACGCCATCTCTAGTGTAGACGTGATATCTGGCTATCGACCAAAGGGCGTGTGTGCTGCCCATCAGTCCGCTCCGTCCTCCTTCATGGCTATGAGACGTGGCCATTGAGAGTGGAAGACATGAAAAGCATGGCTATCTGTCTGTGGTCATAGGTACCTGCGTTCTATCCCCCGTGTGAAGTGGTATAGTAAGGTGAGCAATATTGAGGTTAGGCCTCAGTTGAGTGCTAGGTAAGAAGGGGAAATCAATCAACGAGGCTGTGAAATTACACCGATTGAGATGGTTAGGACATGTGTTACGTATGCCCAGCCACCAATCGCATTCATCGACGGGTAATGTTAGCTGACATAGGATTCTTCGTTATTACCATTCCTTTGTCTCTATTATGCATTTCGTCTCTTGCTTTGTGTGCTACATGGGGTGTGGTGACTCGAACTGCCGCACATTGGTGCAAAGTTCTATGTCGAAAACAGACAGACAGACATCAACATGATTGATGATTTGTTTCTAAGTGCATAACCAGCCTGTGGTACTGTGTCTAGTGTTACTATCCTGACACTTAAGAAGAAACCACGCCAGTAACCCGAAAGTAGTCAATCTGTAAACAGAAATACCTGTTAGACTTTGTTATTTTTGGCTTGTTAGAACATTTAAAAAGGTAATGGAGGGGAGAATTAAGGCTTCTTTAAAGATGTGAAGTCAGAAACATTGCCAGTGAATTAGTTATTTTACACATGAAACTCCTGCTGAAAGAACCACACTATCTAACAGGTTTTGGAATACAGCTCATAATTATGCCATTTAATGCCATATTTTATTTAGTTTGACAATTGTAGTTAGTGTCTGATTCTTAGTCTTTGATCAAGTCCGTGAGCCCGACATTTACACTAGCCGTCGGTTGGCAGACTATCTTGATAAACTGGTGAAGTTATTCTCAAGGCTTCCCAGCTAGCAGCTAGCATATCAACTGTGAAACAAAATCAAATATTGTACCAGGACCGTTAATTCTCAAATCGAGGGACTCTTCAGCAGTTTCCACACAGTGTGCCCACGTCCTCTAGTGAATCACTGAAATATAGTTCATTTAATTCCAGAAATTCAAAATACAAAAGAGAGTTATATATGTCCAAACCAAGTTCACTTTTAACAGTTTAACAGTCATTTTTAGTTGTTCCTAAAATATGGTTAAGGTGTGTAGATGATACTTTTGTAGTACTAAAACGAAATATACACAATTCATTCTTGGAGAAAATAAACTGTGTATCTCCCAGAATCCAGTTCACTTCGTAAGCAGAATCAGATATCGGTGAACTACCATTTCTAGACTGCCTAGTTAAGAATAGGAAAAACGAACATTTAAGTATATCCATATTCAGGAAGAAAACCCACTCCAATACATATTTAGACTTCAAATCATCACACCCCATCAGCTCAAAGATTTCAGTTGTTTCAAGTCCTCTTAGACGACCACACTCTCTGATAATGGATGAGAAAGAAAAAGAAGAAGAAATACCAAATATTTCTGAAACTCTCAAGCATAACAACTACCCAAGGAGCTTCATCAACAAAATCAACATAGACATTAAGTATGGCCGAAAATGCATTCCGAAAACATGGACCTCAACAGTCACCATTCTATATAGAGCAGAGGCATCAGACGATATCAGAAGAGTACTCAATCAGCTTGACATTAGAGTTTTCTTCAAAATATCAGACACACTACTAAACAAACTTGTCCATATAAAATACCAAATTCCTAGAGATTCTCTATCTAATTGTCTCTATAAAATAAAATGCTTCGAATGTGATGCGATATACATCGGACAAATATCTCAAGAGAGGAATTAAAATCATACTAAATGAACACCGTAGAGCATCGACCACCGAGAAATCCGGTTGAACTAGAAAAGCTTGAAAAATCATCAGCCATATATCTGTCTAAACGCTGTAGAATCAGGCCACAAAATCGATTTTGACAATATTGAAATCATCATCCAGAAAACTTCAGGAATCACAAAGAACGTCTAATATCAGAAGCACTCCATATCAAGTGGAATCCAAATTGCCTGAATAGGAATGATGGACTAAAACAAAATCTGACCTGGTTACAACACCTCCGTCCCCGCCCCCATGAAGTGACAAAATCAACACGAATGTGATAAGCAAGTTCACTATGTAAACACACACACTGCTTTTAGAATTTTACACACACTGATCAAATCCAACAATCTACACTTGGCTTTGTAATCTTTACCAATTGACCAACTTGACAACAAAAAAACGACTCCAGACTGACGAACGATGATCAAGTTAGTAAACTTTATTTTGATATCATAACAAATGTACTATTTATTACCTTTGTCATTTGGTTCAGTGATCTTCACTGTTATTTCGACTTTCAAAATATCCCTCTAACTTGACCTAAGTCTATTTTCTCACCCCTTAACTCTTAGTCATATATATATATATGCTGAGGTTTTGTAAATTCCGGTTTAATAATGCTTTGATAAAGCTATTAGCAGCAGCATTAAATAGCGAGACGTGAGTAAAAACAAGCGTATCGTTTTGTTTTTCATTCATTGGGAAATACAAAAACCTTTATCATAATAAATACCAACGAGAGTGTTTTCTTAAGAACACATGTGACATGGACAGCCAGTAAATTGGTACATTTTGACATCCACACTTTTGATCTTCACTAATAATAACTAATCTCCCTCTAATTAGTTAGTATTCTATTAATCAATTTGTAAAAAATTGTCAACACATACTTTCGACATGCTTCATTTCCTTGGTTTCTCCTACACTTAGATGTCCTATACTGCTTATCACCGGTTCTCTTGGCTCACATCACAAAAAATGTCGTCAGTTATTTGAAGATTTGGAAAAAATTCGCCGTGATTCTGCCGGTAGTGGTCAGTCGACTACAAGTGAATTTGTAATGATTGATGATGTATCAAATGTTCTCACTGAGAGAGTGAGTTTTAGTATTTTTGGTGAAATATATGTTAGATTTTATTCCTGAAGCAATGTATGCATGTATGTATACATGACTTATGGAATGTCTCACTATAGACTCGCTCAGTATGTTAAGACCTTACAAGTGAAGTCAACTTGATGATCATGGTTATTTATTCAGATCTAGTGAATCCTCGAAGCCTTTTAAAACTTTTCTAGTTAATCTCGGTATTTGTGTTCCCAGCACGAGTTAACACCACCACCACCATCGCCCTCAAATAATGCTCCGCATCAGGTTAAGCAATCTAAAACTCGAATGAAAGTAACACCTCCATTGAGTGACATAACTTGCAAGGTCAACTAGGCAGAAACTGAATTAGAAGTGAAACGTTGGGTGTGAATCCGAAGATAAGATGTGGGACATCATGGTCCGTCGTGCAGCGAACTGAAAGCGACGACAAAGAAGACAGTACAGTACAATGAAGATGTGCTGGTGAAGCCCTATATTCCACACTGACCTCTTAGTTCTCTCGATCCAGTTTCGTAATAACAGATGCATTTATGAACAGCTTTCATTATAGTGCTAGGAATGTTTTCAAAGGACAAAACTGTTAAAGGAACGAGGTGTGTTTCATATGGATGAGTATTCCATAATATGATCTACAATAGACCATCGTTTTATTGAAAATTCTATATAAGGATAAAGATTAAACACACAGGCTGAAAATGCTGTACTGTTCAGAATAAGGCCACCCACATTACTATTCCCATTTTCATAGATAATGAGCTTATAGACCACCTGCTTAATGAAAACTTTTATTGATAAGAATCAAATTATTATTATTAACTAAATTATTAATTAAATTCTCCATAAACAAATATACAGACCTCTCGTGGCCCAAGTGGTCTAGTGGATAACGCTTTGGCGTTTGAAACTATGGGTACTGGGTTCAAGCCTCAGTGGGAACATCATCACTCACTGAGAAATCCAGGTACATCCAGCTGACGAGTCCCAAATAGGACGAAATGCGCATCCTGGATTCCACTGCTAGCCACCATCCACCAATTGTATACTAAATATACAGACCTGGTTTAAATTTTACCACAGTTTCCTTTGGAAAAAGAAATTGGTTAAATCAGAATGCGTGGTTTGCTTCAAATTATGAATGGCAGTCAAGAAAGCAGACAGCAGTGCATGCTAGTATATAATACTGATTGACCAACATGAGTATTTGGACACTCACCATCAGCACTTGTTAACACGATTTAATTCCAGTTTCGCCCCCTCCACCCAGGTGGCTAGGTGTAATTTGAGCCGAGTTGGCTGTCCAAGCTGAATTAGCACTGAGCACACACCGTTAATGAGCTTGTCTTCAAACAAGTTCAATGGCATCCCGACGTTTAGATCACTTCAATCTAGCTTCCTGAAAACCAGTACTGGTGGGTATGAGTGTTATCTTACTTTTATGCATTGTTCAGTAGTATACACTGTTGAAAACCAGGAAGTACTGGGCAGCACTGAGGTTCGAACCCAGGACCTTCCGGTTACAAGGCCAGCAAGCTCGTATACCATTCAGCCAATGGGACCCGCCTGATTCAATGGCCAGTGCATGAATTCTAACTTCTACCAACTGGTGATTTAGCACGACCCCAACCAATGTCGTCGGTGGGACATCCATCCTCATACCTGACATCTTGGTGGACCTCACTGGTCACGACTTCTCACAGGAACTGACTCCAGGAAACTCCGTCCTGTAGCAAGTCACTGGCGAGCATCAGATTAATTTTCCATAGTTGGTTTGTAAAGGTTAGTTTTATTTTTACGAGTTGATCACGGATTGATATCCGTTAGAGAACCATTGAAAACCAGTACTGGAGTACTGGACAGGTGTTTCATCCAGGTTTGGAAATCATCGGCAGTAATCCTTTTAAACCGAAGGTCCTGTGTTCGAATCCCAGTGGGTGGTTCCCAAACTAGGATGAAATAGCTGTCTAGTGGTGCTCCCTGGTTTTCAATATTTCTGTAACTGATATCAATCCGTAATCAACTCGTAAAAACACAACTAACCCTTACAAACCAAACTATATTAAAGTATACACTGTACAAAAGTAGATTTTATTGATTTTTACAGAGTTAGCCTTTCAACTTAATTCTTGTTTTTTTAACACTGCGTAATCTTCTCTTCACTAATTTCCTTCTTTTATACAGCCGGACAAAGTGGTTGACAGTATGCAGTTCTTTTTGCAAGGCCTTGGTCTATGTAAGTCTCATATACGTTTTGATACAAATCAGTTTTACAACTGTTTTATGGAGAATTATAATATACGTCTCACAAATCATATAACTGACTGAAGCACGTGATTCCGTGACGTTGTATACTTGTAATATCGTTTTCATCTATGTGTATATGTATATGTATATATGTCCGTTTATAATAATTTTACATACTTTGCAAAATCATTCAGCATGAAATGTATCCAGGATAACAAATTAATTTTTATCCACAAAGCTCTAAAAGCATAATAATTTTTTATTCAAGTATTGGTGTTTAGGGATTTCATTGATTTGTTACAGGATTTCATCAAGAGCTGACATCGGTTAGGGAACCATTGGAAAACCTGGAAGTGTTGGACAGCTGTTTCGTCCTAAATGGGGACTCTTCACCAGTAAGTACCCATAGGAGTTCGAGCCGAGGACCTTCCGGTTACAAGGCGAGCTCGTAGACCATTAAGCCACTGAGACTCGTCAGTGTATAAATTCTAACTTCTGCCAATTCACGACATAGTGCTACCACTAGCCAATGTCACAGGCGAGTTTTATCCTCACACCTGGCTTCCTGTACCCCACTGGTCATCACTGCTTACTAGAATCTAGGCAACTACCTACCTGAATAGAGTAGAGTAAAACAGTTTGGGTGTATGCAGAAATACTCGCCGAAGACATTGGCTAGCGGTTGTGCTATGTCCTGAATTGGCAGAAGTTAGAATTCAATAGCTGGCCATTGAATTGGGTCCCGGTAGCTTAATGGTGTACGAGCTCGGCTTGTAACCGGAAGGTCCTGGGTTCGAACCCTGGTGGGTGCGTACTGTGAAGAGTCCCAAACTAGGACGAAACAGCTGTCTAGTACTATCAGGTTTTCCAGTGGTTCTCTTACCAATGTAATTTCATGAGGAAATCATGTAACAAATAATGTTTGAATTGTGAGGTTAATTTTGTTACAAGCCAATATCAACTAGAGAATAACTGTCTAATCCTAGGTTTCTAGTCTCCAATGGTGTGTATACACTGCAAACCCTGGACTCCGAATTTTGAATAGCGATCTTAAGATTAAGAGGTGGACCCACTAAGCATTCGGCTAATATTCGAAAATCGAATGACCCAAGAATTATTGGTTGTCTCAGTTAGCAGTGTCGCACCACAGCCATCCATCTCCATAACTGAGTGTTTGTCCTCACGCCTAACTGATTACGACTTCTCACCAGTACTTCAGGGATTCAGTACCTACGGTCAGTCATCAATAGAAAAAATGCATACGCTGTTGTCCTAAAATGAGTATACTAATGGGTACATTCGATGGTCTTCATAATCGAATCTTAAGGTTACAGGTTAACTTTTCTAATTGATGTTAAGTAGTTGGAAGCAATCAGCAGGAAACTCTGACCCAGATTTCATGCCAGTTGGCGACCTTGAATAAATCAGCTTTCCGCCCATTGCCTCCAACCATCTAACATCAACAATTTAAAGTGTTCCATAATGCCAAGTTACCTAGAATGTGGCCACATTGCAAACCTGACTGATAGAATCCAGTCTGCACCAAAGACAGGACTAGACACATTACACTACTTCCTCACTTATATCCAATCAATGTATCACCTTTCTTATATATAAGCGATAAAGTATTTTGATTGGACACTAGTAACTAGTGTGAAGTGTCTAGTCCTTTCATTGGTTCAGGCTGAATTCCATCAGTCAGGTTTTGCAATGTGGCTACCGTTCTAGGTAGCTCGCCAACATGGTGCACATTTATCTGATGATATTAGTATAGTTGGAGGTCAGTCGCGAGCGCGGATAGCTCAGTGGTAAGGTCTCTCACTGCAGCACTGGGTGAAAAGATTTCGAATCTCAGAAGAGATATGAGTTCCTTCAAGGTTACAGATACGCCTTGCTAACTGGTGAGAACCAACTAGCGCGAAGCCTAGGTCCAAGGCCTCCAACTATCTAAGCTATGAAGTATTGTTATATGCAGGTAATAGGAAATAAGTCAAAGTAATCTGTGTATATCTGTCGACAAAAAATAGTGACCAAATAAAACATTAGATGTGTTTTATGTTAATTGTCTGGAAAAAAGTTGAATAGTTTGAACAAATAAAACACGGAATGAATATGTTAACTAAACAATGAGGGTTAGTGCTTTTTTTCGAATTTATGGGTTTTATTTGTTCAGCTGTTAACAGTCTAAAACGTCACATGAGTTTTTCTAAATATAAGCACCTAACATATTTCATCTCAAACAGGGATTAAACATCTCTTAGCATAGCAATCGAAGAAAACGGATGAACACAAATTTAGGGTAATAATCGAACATTAATATAAGTATAAAACTTGGCCACTGTGATAGTAGAGTACAACTGCATTGTAGATAAGATTTTATTTTCATAAAGTGTCACACAGTGTTATACAGTAAGTAATATTAACTGATGACCACGTCTTGAGCACAAACTATTGACGCTCATAATCATATCAAGTTACTCACACAACTTTTTCCTTCATTTGTATACATGTGTGGAATTGATGATTAGACATTTGAATAAAATATCAATATGGGATAATGTACATTTAGAAATAATAATATGGGTGTTATTGATCAACTACAATCAGATGAGAAATAAGACGAGTGTTTTTACTGTCGTCAGTAATAAGTAACTTGTTAGAATGTTGTGGTGTGCTTTAATTAAAATAGAATTTTGAGATTATTTATTACCCTCTTCTGATTTGACTGACTGATGGTAATAATATCTTCCATATTTCTGATATTTGCATTGAGTCACTTCTGTTGCATGTGTTGTGTTGGGTGTAGACTCAATGAATCAGGCAGGATTCAGTAATCAATCTCTCTCTCCACCTACATAGATTATCTCTCAGAATCTTAACCCTCTCCCACCCCCCCTATTGTGTGGTTGTGTCTTGATGCATGTAGTGCATTTGCTGAGCTCTTTTCTAAATTACTCATCTTTTTAAGGTCAGCCAATCTTACCTTAGCTAAATTCTTATGTTCTGACAATCAGACTACCTCCGATTTACTGGTTTGACCTATGTAGTTGACCTCACAATCACTGCAAGGCATACTCGAACATATAGAAAATCACAAAAATGATTCAACGAAGATTGTTTTTGATGTTATGATTGTTTTTTTAATAACAGTGGAAATCGCAGTAAAATCAGTTGGTTATATTCTGTATAAAACAGTTCGTGAAATATATATATATAGAAATCTCAAATAAACATTTCCAAAATTATTCAGATTAGTAGGCCCGCAAGGTGATAATTGTATTGAGGCAACATCGAATAAAAAAAAGATTATACTGCATAAAATCAGTAGGGGTATTTGGAGTGAGCTAAACGTGGAAATTAATGTTAAAACTCGAAATAATTATGGAACGATATATATACAATTTGAATAAACAAAACGCAAAATAAACACGGTAAAGGTAGAAACGGGGATTATAATAGTTCATCTTGGATGGATTAAGACAACAAAAGAAGAAATGGTTGAACGGGCTTTTTCTGTGTATACAAAGGTCTGGCTTTTCTGTTTCACTGGCCAACAATACCGATGAATGGAATATAAAAATATTTGGGTAGGTTATTTTTTGCTCCTTACAGATAACTTTAAAGGCGGATGGTGTAGAAATAAGGCGACCAATATTGACCAGACGTTAAATTAGTGTACTTCTTATAGCCCTACTTCCGACAGTGGAAAACGAGAAGACAGGGATATCGTGGACCGATGTGAACAATCTAGAAGACCTGGATTTCGCGCGTGGACGATTTATGTTAATGATTTATGCACTAGAACTGCAGATTGTTTTGCTGTATAGATTTAGTCGCTAATGAGCATCAGATCAATTAACATGTGTGTTGTTTTGCAGGGATTTGATTGGCTGCAGGTTCTATCACAAGATGACATTGCTTAGAGAACTCCGGTGGGCATGTGCTGCTGAAAAGTCCCTAACCAGGACGAAACAGTTTTCCAGTACTTCCTGCTTGCTTTCCAATAGTTTTGCAACTCATGTCTGCTGGTGATCAAACTTTTATTATGGAAGTACACCATTTTTATATTAATAAATCCTATTGTCGAATAATGTGGGCCGGTGTCACAGCGGTTAGCATGCTCACCGACCATGCACATGGTCCGGGGTTCGATCTCCGGCCGACGTACTCCTTTACCTCACTTATCCAGTATTAAGACTGGTAAAGAGGGAAGGTTGGGCATGAGGCTAGCAACCCCATCCTGTAAAAATAATCACCACTGTTACAGAAACTTCAAACCTCCAGCTTGAAGCCCTATGTTCCACTAGAAACGTGAGGGAAATGAAAAAAATAACGCTTTATTCCTCGTCAAATTTAATTCTCTGTTGATAAACTAGATTAAGATGTGTGTGTATTTTTAAAAAACTTTTTATTTTACATTATTTAAATCCCAAAATACCCATCCATTCAAATGATATAATTTTGTTTTCCCTCGTATATTTTTATTTTTATTTCTCATTTAGTGAGTAATTTAAAACTACAAAAAACACCAATGCAATTGAATCGTCGAATGTCTATGGAGGATTATGATAGACCATTGGGTAAAACACATTTCGTCAGTCGACTATCACAACAAGTCCCAGAGGAGAATACAACTTAAATCATCATCATAACAATCATGGTAATAATACTAATACCAATAATAATAATGACATTAATAGTAATGATATATAGTAAAAACATAACGAAGTGATTTAATAACCATTTCTTTGTTCTTTTGGTTCTGTTTGTTCTGTTTGTCTGTTCCAGTGTATGTATGTATGCAGGTATATGTGAATGTATGCATGACTGAAGGATAGTGTTCACATTCATCATTAGTATGAAATGAGTTGAAATTTTAGTGCGTATCACTTAGATTGTTGGGGATATTTATGGGATTATCTCTATTTATCTATTCGTTTGTTTGTATAACATTTTAAAGAAAAACAAACAAAAGCGAGACAAATGTATCATTTTTACAGATTAGTAATGGAATTATTCTTAATACTACTACTACTACTACTACTACTAACACGAATACGCATACTAATCTAATTCAAAATTAACTCTGAGAGTTAAATCCGATTACAAAACATTAAGTATATCAGTAGTATAGTTAGCAAATCAAAAAAAGGATAAATCTTAGAATACTTTAGAAAGACGATATTCTCATACAATTAAGCTATATAATCGTTTCTGCTTGATATTCCATTATGATAAGTATATAAATACCTTTAGACATGTACTCTTTTTTTTATAAATCACTTCCCTTATGCCCCGACCCCTGGACTCCCCGACTTCTGCTGGAAACTAGTAGAATGTAAACAAGAACACAAGGGTGATTGAGTCATCCTTCTGTTTTACTCCTTCATCCTTTCTGTCGTTCGATAACTTTCCTTATTGACTATATACATATATATATATATACATATTAGATCCTGGTCATTAATATTCTCACTGTGTCCCTTTATCGGGTTGATTTTCTTTTTTTAAAAACTGAATGAATATAAAATGTTGTTATTGAGTATTTTATTGGTGAAAGAGTTTAAAATTGAAATAAAATTTTGAAAAATAGCATATACATAAACACTGTGATTTTAGCATTTGTATTTCTTGAATAACACATTGAAGCGTGCAAAATATTGTGGTTTCAACTAGATCTCATCAGACTTAACCCTAATATATATGTAACAACAGAAGACATGGGCCGGAAACAGATCGTTTTATTACGGAAATCAGCACGTATTTATATATATATATATATATATATATATATATATATATATATATTTCATGTACATTATTATAGCTTATTTAAGCAGACAAACACAGTTTTCTGATTGGTTGTTTCTGGTCTCTCGGAAAGTTAAGCCATATATCTGCCAATCTTATTTGTGCACGTTAAGTCTGCTGTGATTGGTTGTTGAATCAGCCTTGTTCATTATTTCTCACGGTCCATATTAGTGACCTAGACAATGACGTAAATTAATGCCTACCAATTGGCTAGCAGCCTGCTCTCACCACATATGTATACATATAAGTTCACAAATAAAAATTCAAATATAAACTAATCATGGTGTTTTGTCTATGGGATAATAAGATGGTGAATATAAATTGTGCGTCATAATAGTAGTAATGATAATAATAATAATAGTCTTACTAATAATAAGTATGAAAAAGTGAGGCTATCTGTGAAAACAAGAATAATGAAAAAACAGCACGATTAAACAAACAAACAATTGTTCAGGTGGAAGTAGTCAATAAAGGCTAGTAAAAACAAATGAACCGATTAAGTAATGCTAGACTGTAAGGGAAGGAAATGAAACACGTTTATAATGAAGATGTGATAAGATTAAGGGATGATAAGAAAGGGGTTGAAAATATAGAGAAGGGGTGGTGGTGAATAAGTCATTGGTTGGTTATGTCTTAATTGGCCAAGGGAGAGATAATGGCTGTACGAACTTCTTTTGAATTCATAGTTTAGGTTTAATAGTTCAAATGCCTACCGCCTGCCTCAGCTGTGTGCATACAGTAGACGAATACAAAGTTGAATTGATAAATGCACATAGATATGGCAAAACTATCAAGCTTACTCTTCGTTTGTGTCCTAATCATTCGTCGGCTAGAGAATGACAAACAGGTGTGCTGCGTAAAATGTTCTTCGTATACTTCTTGAAAGTCTCTGGAACAAAATCTCACTTGATAAGTCACCATTGAATTGTAACTTAATAAACAGAGGCTTCTTACGTGCGGTCAGAGTCTCAGGATTTTCCTCTGATGTCTTCATATGTTTCTTTATGAAACTACTCGAATAGCCAGCCCATCTCCGTCAAGGAATCGTGAACATATATTAAAATTCCTTTCGCAAGAGGTCATCCGTACATATCTTTCTTGCTCTGCTCGCACGACATTTAACAACATTCATTTTAAGTCTAATAGGCACTTAACCAAGGAAGTGTGAGTATTGCCCTGTGAAGGTGGTTTTTCTATAAACACCTCTCCCAAGTAACCCATCTTCCCTCCTTAGCAAGACATCCAGAAAATGTAGTTTATTCTCCTGATCTTCTTCACAAGTAAAGGTAAGCGAAGGGTGGATGTTGTTGAATTTCAGCAACAATTCGTCTATGTTAACATTCTCATCAGCTAAGATAAATGTATCATCGAAATATCGGTAATACATATCAAACTCCTTGATGATGTCCTTCAATTTCCCGTTTTCAAGTTTTGCGAGAAAGAAGTCAGCTAATATTGGGCCTAGTGGTGAACCCATAGCTATTCCATTTACTTGTCGATAGTATGAATTATTGAAGACAAAGTGAACATTGATTGTGCATTTAAGAAGTAATTCTTTGAGGCTACACAAGGGGATTCCTAAGTCTAATTACCTATCGGTGATTTCTTGACAAATATAATATACTGTTTCCATAAGGGGTTTGTTAGTGAATAGTGATGATACATCCATTAGTCTCGGATATTTTAGAAACAAAATTGAAGACATCACTAATTTTATGTTGCACGATTTCTCTATGCAAAGGACCTAGAATCTTAACTAACCACTTCGCTGTTCCGTGAAATGGAGAGTTATACGTATCTAAAACAGGGCGAAGAGGAAGACCCAGTTTGTGCACTTTTGGTAGACCATAAAGACGTTGAGTATTGGTACCTGTTGGTTTGATGGACTCGTACGTGGTTAATGATAATACTCCTATTCGGTTCAGTTTTTTGAGGGAGTTGGTCATTAGATTCTCAGTTTCTCTAATAAAGTAAAACCGTTAAATGTATGTATGTTATATAAGGCTTCAAAAACATTCGTCCGCTTTGTCTCATTTTCTGCTGTCCTCATCAGCTGGCCTAACGTTTACCCATTATCTCTCATCTCCTCCCCGCACGTCCTCCTAGGACAACCTACTCGTCGTTTCCTATTCTGAATCAACTCGAATACTTAGCGCGCGCGATATCATTCGATGGTCTTCTAAGCGTATGACCAATCGATTTCCACTTCTGCATATTTATGAGAACGATAGCTCCTCGATTAATTTGTTACCAGTTGTTTGTTGACGATTCTTTTTCTCTGGTCATATAGAGCGACGGCAACTTTTGACAAAAATGAGTAACTTGTTGAAAGACCTTTTGGTGACTCGCAGTGAAAGTTTCTGACTCGTATAGAAGAAGAAAACTTCACATTTGCGTTGAAAATCTGAATTTTCTTCCTAATGCAAAGTGAGATTATAAGATTTTCAAATCGATTTCGGATCGATGAAGGCGTAACTTGCCTTTTTGATTCTCACCTGCTTTGACGTCTTCATCCTTCCTAGATAATTGAAAGAAGTGATCATTTTTGAGTTTCTCCGGTTGATAATGGTTGGTGCTGGTTGCTGTTGTTGTTGCTGCTGTTGGTTGGTTGGTTGGTTGTCTTCATGACTTCCGTCTTGTATTTTTTTTTCACGTTTAGTTCTGTCTTCTCTGCTTCTCCTGCCATTTTATGAGTTTTAGCCGGTGGTTTTTCTCTTTTGTGTGACCAACACAAATCATCTGCAAAATCCAGATCTTCTGGAGTCTTATTATCGGCCCAGCGTATTCCTCTATTCTCTCTTCCCCAACTCACGGCGTGTTGCATAATTAAGTCCACCACAGTTAGCAATATCATCGACGATAATAGTGGACAAACTTTTCTTACTTCTGGATTCACTTAGAATCCCTCTCTGAGTTTTCCGTTGTGGATCACTTGACACATGACACCGTCATATAGGCAGCTGCTGAACGAAGTTGACAAAGACTCAGGCATTGAATGCCCTTAGTGTTAAAGCAGTTTCCAAATTAATTCTCGGTCAACGCTGTTGAAGGCCTTTTCGAAGTCGATGGAGTTGGCGTAGAGAATAAAATGAGCACATTCCTTATCATTATTTCGCAGCTTCTTCTCAACTAGCTATAACCGGGATAATATAAAAAATATATGAATTAATTAAAAGATTTGGACATACTTTAATTGTGATGACAAGCAGGTGCCTCCTTTGACGATTGGGCTAAGCGATTTTCCATCCGTTTCAGCATCAACTCAAAGAAATCTCCAGCCGGCCTTTAGTCTACTGTTGAATGGCAGTTTAAGAATAAAATGGTTGAGAAACATTGTAGAGAACTGAGTCATGTATGGAACAGTATGATACTGCGTAATACAATATGATGTTGCTGACTATTTTGTTCGAAGATTGAATATGGAGAGGGAATATATTACGAGAAATCCTGTGGAGACTTCTGCATTGTGTGTTAACGCAATTCCCAGAATAATGCTAAAATTATTTTAAAACAATCAGTTTCCTTTATGAATTTAGATAAAGCAATAAGAAGACGTAATTTGTCTGAATCGTGTATGTGCGTAACACATTTCGAACAATCTGATCACACGCGGACTTGTCGTAGGAGTATATATGAAATTAATAAAAGGGTAGGAGGTGAGAAAATAGAGGAGTTAGGTCAGGTTAAAAGGACATATTCAAAGTCAAAAATAAAAATGAAGGCCACTAAACCAAATAGCAGAGGTGATAGTACATCTGCTATGGTATCAAAATAAAACTTACCAAGGAAGGTTTAATTTGATGAACGCATAAAGGTAGTTTAAACTAT